TGGCGTCTTGCCACAGAGGTTTAGTAGATTGTGGTAAGCTACCTGAAATAGTAAATGTGGAATGCTGATAATTTTGCAAAACGGGGTGTTATTTTTCATGGGAAAAGAGCCTGCTTTAAACTCTGTAAGTGTGGCTCTGTCAACATGCTCTGATGATAGTTTACTTGTGTATTTACCTTGTGCTGTTTTCAGTTGACTTTAAGAGTAGAGAAAATGTCAAACTTTGAACAGCAAACCTTTTTTCCACGTTGGGACTGAAAACTATGTATATACTATAATAAAATTTCAAGCAGAGATCTGAAATGAGTTTGCCCAGTGAGTAAATTGTTCATAGGTTGTTGTTTTTTATTGTTGTGCTGTGTTTTGTTTTCTATTTTAGATGCCAATGTATTGACTAAGATATTCTGGGTCTTGACTCATTCAATAAGAGGCAAATAATTATTTGACTGCCTAGAACAGAATGTCTTGGGCCTTCCTTAAGAACGGCAATAGATTTGCCTTTTTCCATTTCCAACATGGCTTCAACTGCTGTGGAAAACTGCCCACAAAGCATTTTCAAGATGACTGGAAAGATGAATTGTCTGTTACAGAGAACAGAAGGACTTGTAGTTGGGATTTCCTGAAACTGACTGGTTTGTTTCATAACCAGATAACGGATTTCTCTTTGGACAAATTGCAAGATAGATGGAACATAACTACCCCATGCTGGCTCCTTGTAGTGAGAGGAGAACTCTTAGTTGTTTGCTATTCTTGGACGTTTTCACAGAAGTGTGCATTCAAGCCATTTGATGCTCTATTTACATTTATCAGATTTCTATACCGCCCAACTCACCTCAGTGACACTGGACGGTTTAAAGGTAGTCCTCATGACCGCAAGTGAGCCCAACATTTCTGTGGCGAAGTAAGACGGTTGTTAAATGAATTTTGCCCCATTTTATGACTTTTCTTGGCCGCAGTCGTTAAACAAATCATTGCAGTCATTAAGTCAGTCTGGCTTCCCCTGTTGACCTTGCTTGTCAGAAGCCTGTTAGGTTACAAGTGGTGATCGCCTGATTCTGGGATGCTGCAGCCCAGATTTTGATCATGTGACCCTGGGAATGTAGCAGTGGTCATAAGTCACTTTTTTCAGTGCCGTTGTAACTTCGAACACTCCCTAAATGAACAGTGCTAATTTGAGGACTATTTGTACAGCCAAATGTAAATAGATTTCATGATGGAAATCGTTTTTCTTGCAGAGTTTGGCTTTTCAGTACAAAGCCATTGATCCTGTTACACGAAGGACTCAATCTTCGTCTGAAGAACGGTCGGCTTGATTCTGTCCTCGTCAACCTGCCTTATAAATAGAAGTGATCTGAACTCGGAGCTGCGGCTATGTCTACTTTCCCCAAAAGCTACAATCCTTTTGATGAGGACGAGGATGACTTCAAGCCAGTCAAGTGGAACGAAGGGGACGAGCCTCCAAGAGAAGGTCCAGACAGACAAAGATATTTGCAACAGGAAGTCATGAGACTCTCGAAATCGACTCTAGACAGCACCAACAACTCACTGTCCCTCATTTATGAGTCTGAACATGTGGGAGTCGCCACATCGGAGGTAAACAAGAATCTCGAAAGCCCATTTTTCAGTGTTTGCATGCTGTGTCAGTTAGGCTAAACAAGGTCATATCGGAGTACCGATGTCTCCTGTGTAGCTAATGAAATACCTGCAAGAAAGCAAGTTCAGAGAACACCAAGGATTCCAGAGTCTTCCTCCTCCCCCCCTCCTCCTCCCTGTTCCTTCTCCACCCCACAAACCCCACTCCCTTCTAGCACTGATGATATTACCTAGTTGGGTCATGAAATGTCTGCAAGAAAACCACCAAGCTCAGAAAATACCAAGGACCCCAGAGTTCAAAAAATACTGTGGACTATTGGTAATAATGATATTTCATATTGCCACTGCTTCAGCTTAACAAAGAGAAAGCTACAGTCCCTTTTGCATAAGATGTGTTTCGTTGTGCAATTGGCATCCCTTTCACAAATTGTTTTTTTTTTTTTTTTTTTGTTTGAAACTCCCACGATGCTTTTGGCAGGAACTTGTGCGGCAAGGGGAAGCCCTGAAGCGTTCCGAACGCATGGTGGATAAGATGGAGCACGACTTAAAGACGAGTCAGAAACACATCAACAGCATTAAGAGTGTCTTTGGGGGCCTCGTCGGCTACTTCAAAGCGAAGCCGCAAGAGACCAAACCAGAGGAGAATGGAGCCCCTCAATACCAAGGAAGCGACAGGTAGATAATTGAGAGATGCCTCTAAGGATGCAGGGAGTGGGTGGGCCTCCGCGTTCCCCCGTGCCCAAGTGGCATTGGCCTTGAATTTGTTGTTAGATTTTTTTTATCCCACCTTTATTACTTTGCAATTTACGATGGCAAACATAATCTCCTTCCTCTTTTCCCACAACAATAACCCTGTGAGGTTGGTTGGGCCTGAGAGAGAACGACTGGCTCAAAGTCACCCAGCCAG